GGGGGGGGGGGGGGGGGAATTATGTCGCGTTGACTGAGGCGATTGCGAGTATATCTCTGTATAACGGAGATACGTCGCGTTTTTATTCGCGCACACGCGCTCTGCCATGCGCGGCATGCCCGGTGTGACGCGTCCTATGGTTTCATCGACGGCAAGCGCGCTACTGCCGCGAATAAGCGTTGATGCCCGAAAAAAGCCCCCCATTGTCGGACGAAAGTCAATCCCGTCCGATTGTCAGCTCCGCTTTCTTTCACCTCTCGCCCCCCTCTCCCCCGTCCTTCCTCCCCGGTCGGTGTTGTAAAATCCGCGAAATTCGAAATTCGCTCGCACGCGCGTTCGCGACGAGCCGGCGACGATGAGCTTTCGACAGAGGGAGAGAGACAGAGAGTTTCCCGGATTCTCCGCGTCGTAACGCGCCGCTGCAATCATCTCAAGGTTGTGCCGGATCGTGAACGCAATTTTGCGAAAATCCGACGGTAGCGCCCGCCGCCACCCTCTCGACGGCGCGCCTCTCGACGGACGGAGGGATCGAACTCCGTCATCCCGGCGCGGCAATTATTCCGGTCCCGGTAAAATAAAAGTTAGCCCGATTTTCCATTAAATTGTCCACCCCCTGCGGGGGCAGAACGGAAGCGGCGACGGTAGGCGAAGGGTTACCGACAGCTCCCCGGAGGGGGGAGGGTCGGGGTAAATCGGATAAGTTGGTTTGCGGTGAAAGTATTCGGTTAAGGTCTCCCGGGAGTGTCTCGAGGATGGCACGAAACGAGGCCAGGCCGATCCTGGCCCCCCTTCGGATTATCAGAGCTTTTTCCTGGCGGTACGCCAACGGTCACCATGGCAACCATCTTAAACGTATATACCCGGTTCACTCGCAACCCTCGCGCCCTCTCGTCCCTTTATAGGCACACCGGCGCGTCACTGATTCATCGAATCACGCTGTCGCCTTCGGCGGCTCACGGCGACACGTTTGGGACCGTTTTTGCCTTTCTTCATCTCTCTCTCTCTCTCTTTCTCTCTCTCTCTCTCTGTCTCTGCGAGAGATCGAGAGCCGTCCGCTATTCTCTATCTTATCTACCTTTCGCTTCCCCGCCGCCCCTCCCGTCGAAACGAAACGTGTCTGGAATCGCGATAGTGTACATCTCGTTACATATCCCAGCTGTCCCACTTCAAAGCAATCCGACGTATCGGACCCCGGACAACGGCTATAGATAGTGTCAGTAAGTGGTTACGGAGTTACTCAATATGTGATTGGAGAGAGAGCGCTGTCTAGATGGGACACACGAGACGAACGTACCGTCGTTTCCTCGAGGAGACACGTGCGCGCTTCTTCTTCCTCTTCTTCTCTTCTGCCGCTCCTTCTTTCTGTCAACCTTACCGGCGGCAAGAGCTGGGTTTGAGAAACGTGTTCGGCGTAACGTATCTTGTTAGCAGATCCGACATTCCGCCATTTTGTGTATCGCATTACGTTAAAAAAAATTCATATTTATATATAGGTACATGTACAGAGAAGGCGCGGTTACTATGGGACACCCTAAGATCTTTTTAAATCGGAAACCGTTAAAGACTGAAATTTGTTTTCACTGAGTTATAACGTTCCTTATAACGCGTTCCGGAAGGACTTCGTTTATCTACGGTAATGTTGAAATGTTACATCAATTTCCTTGAAGATGGATTTTGGAAAGGTAATATGGAATGGGTCGGGTAAAGCAGAAATATCATATTGATCGATTTATCTAGCGAAAGGTGGTCCGGACGCGGAACGAGAACGGGGCTCGAAATTTCTTAAGTAATGTGACACCCGCTAATTCGCACAGTCGCAATTGCGGCTCCCTTGCCGCAGTCGCGGGGCTCGATTGGATGGAAGAGCTGGCGCGGTGGTCCTGCCGGCAATTTGATCGCCCGGGCCCGCTTGACAGCCTGTTTCGCGTAACGCATGTACATTCGGGGAACGAATTAGCGTTTGCCGAGAGAGTCCATTCGAAGGCCGAGTTACGAGAAATTGACCCAGTAACACGATGTAATCGATACAGTATCGCGTACGAGGGTCATCTACAAATGCTTGCACAGTATGGCGAAACAAATATCAATCGCCGATTACCTTGGGAATTCACATTCACAGCGGAATTTGGGAGCAGAATATCTTTTTTTCTGCTCACACTTGCCCGATTCGCTGTCGGAGGAAAGCGTCGATCGGACTGCCGCTACATCGCGAATTCCCCCGCCGTTTGGCCCGGCTTTCGAGTAACTTCGCTGAAATCTCGCGTTTTCCACTGCTTTGATAATGGTGTCGTTAAACATTAAAAATTCACGAGATTAAATCAAACCGGGCGACCGTGTTCCGCTGTTGACGGCGTTATTATTAATTTTCGCGGGATTCCCCGTGTTCTGCCATTTCACCGCAATAAACTGCGTTAATTCAATCTTGTTTGCGGCGTGCACGGTGTGCGCGTGTGCTCGTGTACGTGTGTACGCGCGTGTGCGTTCGCATTTGCGTGTGCGAGGTTGACAAAAATAGCATTATTTAACTGCGCGGACTAAAATTCGCCGTCAGATAAACGCAACGGCGCGAGAGAGCAACATTGCCGCCGTGATGAATGCGGTCCTTCTTTATTCGACCGTGACATTTAATTACGGCGCGCGAACTCTCGGCCTTTATAAAATTCACAAACGATTCCTCCGTACGACAGACCGTGTAACGTAATTGTAACGTAATTGTGCGACGCCGCCTGTGCGCGGAAAGTTGGAGGGCGGGGGGATAATCAGTGGCGCTATAACGTTAATTAGATACACCGTGTGTCGCATCGTTATAATTAATTAGATGACGAAATTCTACCTTTGCGAGCCTCCAAATCCGGGGGAGCAATGATCCCCGCGCGAATTTCGATACGAAATTACCGCGGAAACGCTGCGCGGTATCAGCGGTGAGCCGCGAAAATCTGCCGGATGCTAAACGACGGCTAAACATCGATTATTTTGGTACGTTCGTGTTGAAAGGATGCGGCATTTCTGGACTAACTCGCGCGGTCAATCGATAATGAATCCTACGGTGGTTCACTTTTGGAGCCTGCCTCGTTGTCGCACGATGTATGAAATGAAATTATTACCGAGGTGAAAAATAACTACCCGCGAGTTGTTATCTCGGTATCTATGAGCACTATGAGGCATTATGAGCTTATAAGTTATGAGGAATGGAATATCGATAGTGTTCCTAATTCTAGTTTCTTATTCCTTACACAAATGTACGCATATTTGTGTGATAATATGCTCGAGTTTAAGAAAAATGAGGGAACATGTATAATTAAGAAGTAAAAATGCATTATTACAAATGCCGGCTATTGTATATTGCCATATTAGCGCTATTATGTACCAGTGGGCTATTAAATCGAATTCGCTACCTAATAATAGAGATATTATTAAGAGGGATTATAATATCTACAAAGGCCATAACACCTTCCCCTCTACTAAAAATGATCGATTCCCAATACCGGTACAGTACCAATTTCCAGTAATGGTTATTATTACTGTTCAATTAACACCATGTAACTATTCTACGGAAGGAAAGGTCAAAAGTATGGCCGGAGTGCTCGCTTGTATCTGCAGATGTCCACTTTTAATGTCACGTAAGGTGAAACACGTCGGAGTGAGGCAAACTTGGCCGGGATCGAACTAACTCCTCTGCATGCCGAGCAATCGCTCTTTTTATTATTATTTAGGCTCCATGTTACCTCTCGCTTTTTTTTTTTTTTTATTTAAACCATTGATATCGTAACGTGAAACCCGTATTCCTCGATATTTGATTGGTGTCTCGCCAGTCTCCAGTACTGGCTGAACGTATATATGATTGCAACAAGAATACCGGGGTCTGAGGACGTAATTAAAAGTATATACCACGTGTTTTCGGTTCTCGGGGAATCGAGAGACGCCCAACCGCAAAAGAAAACGAAACTTTTCCTCTATTTCTTTCTTCCTTTTCGCAAAAAAGTCGGGAAGAATGTAATTATTAAGTTAATACTGGGAATCGCGGGTATACTCGGTTATTTCGACACACGGCTCGTCAAGAAGTTGTCGCGAGCCGACACGACGACCTGTCCCGTCGCTCGCCCGTGCACTTCCGGAAAGTTATAAGTTATTTTATTTGAAGGCATCGGGAGAACGACACCGCAAGTATCTCGTTTGCTCTTTCGAGAACTTTTATTGTTCCAGGCACTTCTCAGGGGCGCCTTGACTCAACAGAGCGCCGTTATCCTCGTCTGCATGGCGATCGATCGTTACGTTTGCATGCTACACCCCCACCGTTATCATAAGCACTCTTCTAAAAGGGTAAGTTATTTCGCTCTCCGTAATCACTCATCAACTCTATTCTGACTAACGAAACACCACCTCTACGTGTCCACATGTCGATAGCACATGTTAATTTTCGTACGAGTTATTTATTTACGTTCTCAAATATCCACGCTCCACATTTTTGACAGCTTGCATCACATCCACTCGTAAAAGGTGATATATATAGTAATACCGAGAATGTTACATGACATATTGTACGAACTTAAAAAGCATATTTCTGATGTAAATTAAAATAGAAAATGTTTTATTAAACATGGACTCAATTCGAAACGGTTGTCCATCTACAAACGTTTAAATTTCATAAACGGTAGCACAATTTTTGGGAGAGTTTTCTTTATCAGAAATGGGAAATAAGAAGAAAAACATAGGAATTCCATAAATTGTTCAAATTGACGTCTTTCGGCATTGATACACAATACGGTGCGATCTAAGATGGATTGAGTAGTCGCATGAAGGACATCATGATTGTTTCTTATTTGTTCACACGTATCATTAATATGCTGCAATGTCTTTCGGCATTGATACATAATACGGTGCGATCTAAGATGGATTGAGTAGTCACATGAAGGACATCATGATTGTTTCTTATTTGTTCGCACGTATCATTAATATGCTGCATTAATTATTCAGCTCGAATATTAACTTTCCTTTCGTATTTCAATTTACATCAGAAATGTGCACCTCAAGTTTTTACACACAGTACATTACACATACCCTGTATATTATATCGTCGTTTTTTGAAATTTTTTCACCGCTCAACACCAAATTAGATATCTCTAATGACAGGAAACGCCCGTTGGGAAAAAATAACACATCCATACGATATTTTACGTGTGAAAAATTATCCTTTGAAATACCTGCGCGAGCGCGCAAAAACTTGGCGATAATACTCGAGTTACTATTAAAATCGAATAGAGGTTTTTCACCGATCGTTTCAAACGGTACCTTTCGCTCGTTTCAATCCGCCCAGTGCAGATTCATTGTCTCCTATAACAAGCTTTGCACACCGTGAGATCTAACGGTGAGTAAATTTGCTCTTGTTAAATATGAGATATCGAGTAAAACGGCGAAACAGTTAACTGGCTGCGGACAACTATCGTTTCCGCTTAAAACAGCCGCCGCATTCCGTGAAAACGACAACTGTTAATGAAACCCGCCTCGCCTCCGTCCGATTCTTTTGAATTTGCAAGAGAGCTGAGCGCGCCTTGAATCGGCCATTGACGAACGATCATTTCATTGACGAATGAGACGCACGAAGGTCTTTGGACGGTGCAATTCGCCGCTCGTATAAATCACGAATTCCTAGAATGAAATATATCTCGTTACACGTCAAGATCGTCGTTTTATTTGCGAAAGAGATTGGAGATTCGCGATATCACACAATCGCCGGTCGCAATCGCGGGTTTGATGGACGAAAATAATTCCTCGTTCCTCCCGCTTTTGAAAGATTTATCACGAAATTGAACTAAAAAATTGACGCGCCGCTATTAATCTTTTTTTACATTTGGATCTATTATGCATTATATGCAGAACTGCGTGTACGAGTGTGCGTGCGAGACGTCTGGTGGTAGTGTGCTGGATATACAGGCAGAGAATTCCGAACAATTCACTAAAATGAATATTAAAAAAGATTGAAAGCTTAACAGAAAAGAGTAGAAAATTTTCATTTAAAAGAATAATCTCTTAGCCTCTGTCCGACCTCCGTTATCTCATATTATTCAGTGACGAAATAAAAATAATAGCGATCCACTCTCTCTTCCTCTCTCTCTCTCTCTCTCTCTCTGTTTCAGGAACATAACAAAAAAGGGATGAGAACTATATGAAACACACACCATCACCGCCAAATGGTGATAAATGGAATATTGTATACCTGCCTCGTTCTTTAAAAAGAGCCCGCTGTTTATTTATATCTCGACTATATAGACTCGGTTCTCTTCCACACAATGCCGGGTGTCGAGTTAAAAGAAAATATTTGTAGTTCAGAGAAAGTACGCTATTCAACGGTCTCTACATTCGAAGTACCGAGCTTAATATTTTTTTTTTACACAGGGGTCCGCTCGAAGGGTAGAACAGAATTGAGTTTTTAAATATTCACATTGGTCTCGCTCCGGATTTATTCGCAAGAATAACCCTGTTTTATAGAAGATAATTCTTTTTCCAGGTAGAGAGAGAGAGAGAGAGTGTGTGTGTGGGTGTGAAAGAAAGAAAAAGTGCACGAAGAGTGTGTTAAAAATGAAGGAGGCCGGGAAGTGTGACACGACGGCTCTACGTGACACAATTTGCAAAGAACGTCGCGCAACGCCACTTCATACATCTCCCCTTTCAGCTCGCACACAAAAATGTCGATCGGTAAAGAGCGGCTTTGCGGACCGGAAGTTCATAATCTCTTTAGATCGGCCCCGGAACTCGTGTCGATTATCCCGCCGCGGCTCGAGTTATAATCTGGTAATTTCGCGTCGCCTTCCGAACGGTGGCGACGAGAGAGCGATCGACACCGGCAACGGTTTCGAGCAACTTTGCGCGCAGCGCGACGAAGTTTTGCGAGCGATATTAGCGAAGGGATCCGCGCGGCATACCTGCGGTTTCGCGCCGCCGTCGGTTTACCCGGGCTTAACCGCCGAAATGAATTTCGGGCTGGATTTAAAAGCGCATCAGAATGCAAAGTGCCACCCCGCGGCCTCTCGTTCGCCCACAGCGCGCGCGCACGTATCATCATCTCGCCCGTTCTCGCGCCCGTAACGAGGAATCGCAAAATCTATGCGTCCACCGGGGGACAGGTGGAGAGTGTACTGGGTGATTCAAAATCGCCGTCCGTCTCTCTCCATCGATTGTTGCCAGCAAGCTTGACTTGACCCACGGACGGTCGATGGCGTTACGTCGTGAATCAGATGACGTCGTAAATCAAAGTTGACGTCGCTCAAGATTAAGAGCACTTCGGACGAGCGGCAGGGGGGAGGAAATTTTTTATTCGTACGTATCCAAAAGCGAGAGAGGAAGAGAGATGGGACGAACGGTGGACTCTGAAGCACTCCGTATACACGTGGCCGGTATCACCGACGAAGTCACCTATAACGAGCGCTTCGAAGAATGCGGCCGCTGCTCACATCCTCGCCCACCCACTCACGCCGAACTTTTTGACTTACCTTTTAATGCATCGCCCGTCGCTTTTACGGCTCTCCTCTACCCCGCTCTTTCTCTCTTTCCGGAAACACGCTATTCATTGGCCACCTACGTTTTTCCTTAATGCCGCTGTAATTTATCGCGGTAACTTTTTTTCTCACAGGTATTTCGACACGCTCTACGCGCGGAAAATGCTGGACTGATCTTTTCGGTGAACATGAAGATAGAAAAATATTTCGCGAATGACCGCGTTAATTCGCGAGTAGTAGCGGAGCGTTGATCGAGTTGAGGCAGCTATAGTATAAAAGACGAAGAAATTATTAAATTATTAGTTTGTGGCTATCGTCTCTACTATGGTGTAGAATAAAGAGAAATTTTTGTAGAGAATAGCATGACTTAAGAGCGAAAAGTCGATTGTTGGACAGTTCTTTTCAAGATTTGAGTGTCCTTGAATGTTGAGATATTAAAGATATCGAATTTATCATAATAGGATCGAGAGCCATAAGTTTCTAGTTTCATCATTTCTCTTCCGCTTTAGTTTTCGGAGTCTGCAACGTATGAAATCGTGGTAACCTTTCGCGCTAACAAAATTATTAATATTAAAGATAATATTGTGTAGAAATTTTTGTATAGTTAAAACATAGATCAATATTTGCGCAAAACTTCCGAATTATATATATAGGTTTTACACGAAATATCCCTAAAATCGCATGCCAAACGAAACGTTTCAAACTACTTTAACGACACGCTCGACTCGCGCGTTTATTCGCGAAAAAATCGCGCGTGCTCGCTGTGTTTACTGCGTATATAATTTATATTCGTGGGGATTTACCGAGTTAACGGTATTAACGCGATACAGTCGTGTTCCGCTCTCCCGCGGCGTCACGGCGAATGCGTCGGTCGATACAGCGAATCCGTAATGGAATTGTTATTTGCACAATCACTAAAATGGGGAAAGGGAACGCACGGCGCATCAGCGCAAAAGAAAGAACCACGACGAATCGCTGAATCGTATCTCCCATTCATTCCGTAATTTTCCGCCTATCGAATGTCCCGAACCGCTCATCGATTTCTGGCAGTTCTCGTCTCTGCCCGTTTTATGCGCGATTGATAGGCGAGGGTGTTGCCGCTCCCCGATTTCGATTTCGCGAACTTAGTATTCTTCCCTCTCGTTTCTATCTCCCCCCCCTCCCCTCCACGAATTAGAGCGGTCCCCGAATTCTTCGTCCGATCGTTCTCATTGATTTCGGAAATTGAAGTCGTAACGATCATGTCGACTCGAGTTTTGACTGATTTCTCAGATGATGTCGACGGATCCTCCTCTCGGGACGATGAATTCGCGTGACACTGTGTGCCCCGCTGAGAGGGTGTGAGAAAATTAGCCGAGCGGAAAAGCCAAACTTATTCCCGTGTTATGATTCACGTTTGTCCCGTATCGTATTACGCCGGTCTGAAGGCAGGGCTCCGTGTTACTTTAAGTTCGCCCGTATTTGGCGCAACGTTCAACCATATACAGCCTGTATTTAGCTCGAAGTTCGCGGCAACTTGTTGTTTACGTCTATTCACAATGCACGCGCGGCGCGAGTATCAGACCCTTACAGCATTTACGCGGATCGATAGTATCTCTCGATGTGGTGTGCCTTCGGGACTTCACAATTCAGCGGTTCGCGCGATTCAGATACCATATCTCGGTAACTCTATGTGCATCTCGAATAAAATCGAGAATCAAGCCTGTATTATGCGCGATTCCGTTATCCGTGAGCTTTCGGCATTCGTTCGAGTGTCGTCGGCGACAACGACTGCGCCTCCCAGATAATCGCGATTCTCGGTGAATCCTCTTCCACCGTGTCAGTTAGTAGCGTATAATAATAGCAGCCAAGCAGTCAATTCACAAATGTCTTCCGGGATCAAAATTCCAGCCTTCTCAGCGCGCGCGGGAATTTTTATGCGCCAATAAATGGAGTTCTTCGGCGCGTCGCGCGTTTTAAAATATTTCCAATTATTTTCGAAATATTCGAGGTACTTTAATGTATTTTTTTTTTTTTTAATATTTCCAGATATTTTTATATATTCGAGATAAATACTCGCACAGATGCGAGTGGATGCAGCAATGCAGATTCCGAAATATTTGTTTCGGACCTGTAATAACGTTTGCGAGTCGAAATCAGAGACCGTGTCTACACGGTAACGAATTTTGTGTTTAAAACGATTCACTGAAATTTTTGTGTCGTTTCAATAAGATAAATATGTGAAGAAGTGATATGTTAACAAAATGAATGCGTTAATTTATCATATATTTGTACTTTTTAACATATTTTCCGTGTTAAAGTAACAAAAATTCCTGTGGATCGTTTTTAACACAAAATTTTCTACCGTGTTTGACAGAGGAGGGAAAGAAGAAAGAGGCGTTGCACAAATGTCAATTCTTACCGCTTGGGGAGCAGTTGGGTCAGCTGTCATTCCGCTGATCGTTCTTCGAGATCGGAACGAGGCTCACCTAATCTCGATAATACTTAGCACGCCGGGTTTGTGCCGTAAAAGTGAACCGTCGATAAAACCGGTCTATCGAACTTTCTTTATTTTCGTCGAGAGATTTGATCGGGAGAAACGATGACTTCACGCGGGAGCTGCGCGTTCTCAAAAAGAATATAGGAATGCGGGACGTGAAACCGTCGATGGTTTCGAACGAAAGCTGACGTTTGCCGTCAGTTGGAACTGTCGAATTTCGATAATTACGATATCTTGCAAATTCAATCTTGATATTCCGAAAACATTTATTTAGTTATCAATTTAAGATTCGTATTCTCATATACAGGATGTCTCCTTTCACCCTATAATTTTTGTCCGCAACATTTCTTTCTATTTTGCTTTACTTTTTATATATTTAGACTTCTAAAGTTAAGTGAGTCATCCTATATAATAAGCAAAAATACATAATCTTATATAAAGATAAAATTTGCTTACTTAAAGAAATTCTATGTTATTCAAGTGAAAATATCATATTTTTATCATTCAAAAATAATTTCCATGAATTGAGAAGAAAAACTATTGGATTGAAGGAACGGTATCTCGAAACTAAACGTTACATCAGTTTAATGAAGAGACACATTTTTTCCCACATATCCAATATTATTCCCCTCAATTCCTGAAAATTATTCTTGAATAACAAGAATATGATATTTTTTATTCTCACATTTTGCGAGAATACGAGTCTCTTGAATGCGTGCTCATTTTTCTACGCGGGCTTTTCGCGGATTACAATTACATTTCACCTCCCTTCCGCCGCATTTCGCAATGCCGCGCTTCACGTTACCGCGTGCAGTTCGATTTCGTTTCGATATATCTGCAACTTCGCACGTTTAGATACGAAAAGCACGAGGCTGTTCGCACACGTTCGCTTTAATCGGCAGCCGAAATTGCAGCGGACGTATCCATCACGCGCACGCACTACGCTACGTCAGCGCGCTATTTACTTCGCCTATGTATCGGCACTGGAAGATGTTTTGCCGCAGCGCACGTGGATTCGCGATTCCCGATAGAAACGGCACAAGATAATCGTTTGGGCAAACAGCCGTTGTGATATACCTGGGCCGCGCGCGAAATGCGGCGAACGTGTGCAAACAAACTCGGCGGCGGTGGCGAATAAAAACACACAAACGGGACCGAGCATCCCCTCAGCGTGTATACACACATGTTACTCTCCGCAACGTTACCAGATCCATAACGGGGCCCGGCCACCCGGCGAGAAAGAGTGATATCGTTTTCTGTCTGTGTTGACGCAGTATTACATGCGGCAGGGTTGCGTGGCGGTGATGTCGACCACCTGGATAGCGAGCGTGGCGATTTTCGGGGTTCTGGTGCTCCCCAGGGGCGGTTACTACTTCAACGGGTCCGGTCTCCTCGCCTGCGACCCTTTCTTCGCCCGGGCGTCCCTTAGGTACCCGCCACTGCGAGACGATAAGCGGCCGGATCGTCCGCCCGTCCCGGTGACCAATTGCGGACAATTACAATTTAACGCGAAGAGCGACACGCTCGACCGCGGCTGATCACCTCGGGGATCGACTCGATCAACTGTGAAAGATAGCGACACCTACGTGCTCCCAACCTGGCGTCCCCGGGACGCCCTTCGCTAAATACGAGAGTCTGTACGGACAGTCGAGGTGCTCTTATCGCGCCGATAGTTCACGAGACTCGCGAAGAAAACACGGTCTTTTCCTCGCGATTCCTTAGTCTTTGGAGACCAGTGACGTCGGACGGTCGGGATCACGGACGTTCAGGGTTAAACTCGCTCGCGATCTCGAATCAAGCCGCGGGGTGCGCTTCAATGATCGCACGCCGGCGAGAAAGGGAGAGAAGCTCGAGCGCTTTCGTTGAGAACGACTGTAATAAAATCAAGGAAAATTTCACACGGCGTATCAGGCGCCGCTGGCGGTCGCGTTTGTCCGAGGGGAACGTAAATCTCGGTCGGGTCGACGCGCGATATCGTCTCTTCTGTCCGCGAGACACGCTAATCGCCGGTCCCCTACCCCGGAAAACGCTCTTTATCGTATCTCCTCTTTCAGAATTCTCGCGTGTTGCTGTTTTTATTTCCCGACGACGATGGTGCTGATGTACTGCTACGGTTCGGCCTTCCACGTAAACAAACTGCGCCTGAAGAGGGTGGTGTGCGTTAACACGCCTGAGGTCGTTAGCGGCGGACACATAGAAAGGGTAAGTCAAATTTGTTCGCTTTGAGTACGCTCGAGCGTCGATAGAGCGGCTCCTGCGAGCCGTGAAAAACGAGAAACATACCCTCGTCGATGAACAATTGCGAAGGGGGGAGATTTTCGCGAGTCTCGCGGCTAATTAAACGTTATTTTACACCCGTCGCATTTTATACCCGTTGTTGACGAAAGATGCGATATCGCGATACGATCCGTGTTGCTTTTGTAGGCTTTTTTCATTAGGGATCATGGGAAACGCATGCTGCAACGTGAAACGCATCGAGAGAGAGAGAGAGAGAGAGAGAGCTTGAATGCAGTATATACGGTGAAAAGATTCGCCGATGCGTGTAAATAAAACATAGAACAAATATAAACTTGCACGTACGCGCGAGCACGTTTCATTTCGCGGAGCGTATTTACTTCGTCGCGTATTCCATTGTCACTCATTCCGCGGTTCAAACGTCGGGGGAAAAAAAATGTTTTCGCCCTCGCTGCGTCGTTTTTTCGGATTTTCGCGTAAGTTCCGGCTGCTCGTAGGGAAACAACGCGAGCTAACTTCCCGCGGCATTAAAAAGTGTTCGAGTGTTTCTCTTCGGCAAACTGTTCGCGCGAGATCTGCGCACCGGCACTCGAAACTCGCTTCCCTCGAAGCTCGCGTTCCCCCCGCAAATTGCACGACGGAATTATAACACCCGTGAGCCGTGAGTGTGCCGAAGAAATTTATGCGAAAGTTTACGCACCGAGATTTCCCGGGCTCGCGGGAGCGCGGAAACTTCCCCGACTAGTTTCCTATTTTGTTCGGGTAGACTCCGCGCGTTATGAAACGCGGGAGATTCATGCGGGGTGCCGCGCGAAACGAGCGAGCGCGATCTCTAAGACAGCTGACACGAAGAGAAATCGACCAATCGTGCAGCCGATATATATCCGGTAAAGTAGAGGAAGCCAAATAGTCGCGTTTCGAGGTCACGGAGACCTCCGCCAAAGACACTATGAGAATATCGCTGGGATGCTGGGGGGAGCAGAGGGTGGAGGAAAGGAGGCGGGATAGTGTGAAAGTGCTCCCGATGTTAAAGGTCGGCCGGAATATCGCCTGCCCGTTTAAAGCGTGTAGACGCGACTAATGAGAATCTGATACCGTGCTATCCTGCCGATATTAATTACTAACTTGTTATACGTAATAAATGATTTCCCGCGAAACGCAGCTAATGGAAGTCGGCGGTTCCGCGACGGTATTTCTGGCGCACGGAAAAGAGGAAAAGTCTCGGTACACGGGGGAAGGTAATTTTGCTATTTGCTTTAGCGAAACCACTTCGTTGCTGCTGCATATTCGTTGCGATGGCGATAAAATTTCGAATTAGTGATCAGTTGGAATGTAAGCTCTCGTGATAAAATGACGGAAACTAAATTACATTCAGGGCGTAATAAGCCGAGCACGGATCTTTTAGTCTATTACTGCAGATTCGAATTAAAAACAAACAGTCTACAAACGGAGATAAGTGTAATCAAATATTTATTTTTCACATCTTGATCATTGAAGTCACTTTGTGTCACTTTAACATGAGGAATATGTTAAAAAGCGCACAGATATATGTTAAATTAACACGGACATTTCAGCGAAACGTTTTTAATACAAACTCTTTTACTGTGTACACAGTGAAAACATTTTATACTCGCGTTAAAATCGGTCCTCGTTAAAATTTCCCGGGTTTTCCGTCTGGTGCTTACTCTTCCGCGGGCAACGAAACATTAAGTTACGCTAACAGAATTGATTTAACCGCGTGTGCACACGAAATCGCAAATCGAGATCCGTCGAGAACATTCGGCTTATTGAAAACTTGAAGAAACATCGGCTGAAATAATTACGCGATATTCGAGCACGATCCTTTTCATGAGCTCGGAAATCCCCGAGTAAATTAATTATCAGAATCCTCCCGCGTGATTCACAGCGCGTTCCGCGGAAGTACACAGCGCTCCGTCTCTCGGAAGCGGAATTCTCGTATTGCGATTGATTCGCCGCGCGACGTCTGTGAAATCCGTATCTCGTAGCGCGCGCTTCCTGAATATATGCGGATAGATCGATGTCGTCGATCTGCGACGACTGTTAGTCCCCGACCACCGTTGAAATGACCGCAGGGACCGGCCGATATCCGTGAAAGCCCGAGAAAGACGCGCAGTTTCCGGCGGATAGAGCCCCCGGCACTGGTGGCTCCTTGGCCCGATATCTTCGGCATTGCCGGCAGGACAACCGTCCGAAGCAAGATGGATGATCTGAACGGCGGGCTAAGCCGACGTCGCTTGAATTCGCTGCCTGTCGGCCGGCGCGATGCATTGAATTCGTCCACGATAACGAGCTCCTGAGGTCGCCCCCCCCCCCCCCCC